CGCCGGGGGGTATAATTCCATCCAGCCCCCCCCCCCCAGAGCAGCTCTTTTCTTCATGAGAACTGATGTCTTGTCACCTGGAGACAAGTGCTAATTCCAGGAGATCTCCAGACCCCGCCTGGAGGTTGGCAACCCCCTCGTGTGGGGAGAAAACCCTATCAGCTCAGCCCCTCCTAGCCAACACATTCCAGGGTTGGGATATTTGGTTGACACAGCAGAATCTCGCCCAGTCATAGAAGCGTGCTACTGAGCTCAGTCAATAAATCTCCCCGAGAAGTATATTGCAAAAAAAGGTACGCTTCCATTTATTCAAGTCGATTCCAGTTCACGTTCCGGTTGCGGTCAAAAGGAGAGAGAGAGACGCCTGATCGAAAGAGACCTTTCCCTCTCACAGACGGCCAGCTTGTCCGGCATCTTGTGTGTGTGTGGGAGTAGGAGGGCATTGTCTCCACAGGAGAGACCTGCAGAGAGACGTGTGTCTCCATGGAAGGCCATGTGAGGAGAGGACAAAGAGAGCGAGAGAGGAGAGGGCGGAGGACACCTCCCAGGTTAAAACAAGGAGAGGCGTCCTATTGAAGGAGATAACACCTATACGCAGTTGGAGCGACACAGCGCCCCCCAATGTCCAGGCAAGCTGAGTTGCTCACTCCAACATCCAAAAGGCTGGGTGCCCCACACTGGCCCTTACAAGTTGGACTTCAGTGTGGGTAATCCTCATCCCCACCCCAACACTTCATAGAATCATAGAGTTGGAAGGGGCCGGTACAGACCAACCCCCTGTTCAAGGTAGGATCGGCCTAAAGTCTCCTAGACATCCCTGACTTCCACGGGCTCCGTATCCTCCAGAGAAACTTGAAGCATGTGCTCCAAAGTATCCTCCTGTGTGGTTTTCATTGTGTTTTCTTAAAACCTTTTAATCCCAGAATAGGGATGGGCAAGGGAAGGAAGGCGGTCTCACCCGATCTCGGGAGCTGAGCAGGGTCACTACTTGGATGGGGGACCACCAAGGGAGACTCTGCAGAGGAAGGCAGTGGCCAGCCACCTCTGCTTCTCACTTGCCTTGGAAGCCCCTTTCTGGGGTCATCATAAGTCAGAAGCTAAGCAGGGGCGGTACGTGGATGGGGGACCACCAAGGGAGACTCTGCAGAGGAAGGCAATGGCCAGCCACCTCTGCTTCTCACTTGCCTTGGAGCCCCTTGCTGGGGTCACCTAAGTCAGAAGCTAAGCAGTGTCGGTACTAGGGAGACCACCAAGGAAGGCTCTGCAGAGGAAGGCAATGGCCAGCCACCTCTGCTTCTCACTTGCCTTGGAAGCCCCTTTCTGGGGTCATCATAAGTCAGAAGCTAAGCAGGGGCGGTACTTGGATGGGGGACCACCAAGGGAGACTCTGCAGAGGAAGGCA